CTTCCCGCATCCCCGCTACCCCTGGTGCCGAAATAGGCCCGAAGGGAGATGACGGGAAGGAAGGGGAGTGGCCGGTGAGGGAGGCCATCGGCAGCATGATGTGGGTGTCAACTTTCTCGCGTCTAGATGGCTCGTTCGCCGTGCGTGCGGTAGCGCGCCACGCCAACGCCCCGGCGAAGAGGCACTGGGATGCCATCCAGACGATCCTCGGCTAGTTGAAGGAGACGAGGGACCACGGCATCACCTACCGACGGGGATCGGGGGTAGGGCTGGCCGTGTACGTAGACGCTAGCTACGCCGACACGGAGGATAGGCGTTCGGTGTCAGGGTTGGCGACGACGGTTGGAGGTACCGTAGTCAGCCATGGTAGCAAGACACAGAGCATCGTGTCTTTGACTACGACGGAAACAGAGTACATTGCTGCCGAGGAGGGCGTCAAGGAGGCGTTGTTTGTGCCTGCTGTGCTTTCGTTTATTGCCCCAGAGACCAGTGGTAGCAGCATCTAGGTCCTTGAGGACAACCAGGGGGGCATAGCGTTGGTGCAGAACCCCCTCAGCTCAGGTCGCACGAAACACATCGACGTGAGCTTCCATTTCATCGGCGGATTGTTAAGGTCGGGGAATATTTCGGTCTGTGTACCAATGGCAGGAGTAGGGGGCGTTGGGAGACCATCGTCCGGGGGAAAGTAGTTCCTCGCGTTCTTGTCTTCGCCTTGGCCTTTCTAATATGTGCGGCCGTTGTGATCCGCTGTGATAGCGACGGTTTTTTGTGGTGGTAGGGTTTTTTTCGAGGGGCGTTGCCCGGACGCCGGGTTTCCCCTCCATATATTACCATGTTGGTATTTTTGATGTATTCAGGAGCGTTCTTGCCCCATTGATGGTTAGTCACTTGCGTGAAGAACTAGGGAGGGTGTTCGTGGGTCTGCGAACATTGGTGTTGGATACATGTGCTGTATGATTTGGTGCCACGCAGATTGGAAAGATTACCGTTTGGTAGGGGGCACCGCGATGATTCACGGGGCCCCTCCTTGCTGTTGGAGCCGCTCTGTTTGGAGCACTCCCTATTTCGTCCTTGTGAAGGTCGGTCCGACCGTCGCCTACCTCTCGTGAAGTTAATACATCACCAAAACAGTCTCACCCGATAAATAAGTGGCGTAGGCCGCAAACAATACTTTGGCTAGAAGCTCGAGGTTTTGAAGCTTCTTGATTAACCAGAAGGTAGCGCACTCAGCAATAGTGCGCACGGGAAAAGATCGCCAAAGCTTTGCACAAAAGGACGCAAATGTCGAGGTTGTTGAAAGTTGTCCAGTATGTACGTGGAGGGGGGACTAACTCCTCCGATGACGACGCGACGACCTAGAGCAAGGGCTAGATACCACGGCACAAGTTGACGGTGCGGAGGGCAGGGGGGTGATGGCGCCGCCACCATACTCGGAGCTATGATCGAATTTTGGCCAGCGTGGAGAGCGCGGAGTCGTGTGGTGTAAGCGAAGCAGCATACAGTGAGCGCCCGCAATTAAGAAATATTTTTTTAAGAGAAAGAGGCTCATTTTTCCACGAAAAATAATAAAGTAGGGTCAAGAAACACGGATCACGCTCGGTCACACAATAAGAAATGTCTCAATGAGAAACAGCGACGACCGCTGCCCTACTACATATGAAACGAGGGGTTACGGGGAGAGTGTGTCGAATAAGAAACACCCCACAGCTCCTCCTATCTCTCGCTCGTTCCGCCCTCTCCCACTACCCCCCCCCTCCCAAGTGCATTATAAGTTGTGCGACGAGGGGGGAGTGTGTCTTTTTTGCGGCGCACCCTCCGGCCCCCTGCCGGCTCTGTCTGGCGTTTGGCGGCACGAAAATAAGAAACTTGACATAAGAAATTGAACGACACACATACGCTAAGTGTATATAGCCCACGATAAGAATTCGAGGCTGGACCTGAAATAAGCGTTTCTTAATTGCGGGCGCTAACTGTACTAGAAGAAGTATTTCGCAAGGCAAAATGGCGTTCCTCGCAGCGCACGCCGCTCCTCCAGCACGCAAGGCAGATACCAGAGAGATTATTTTGGGTGAGGGATGATCGATACGCGACACATGGCAGAAATGAGATGCTCCAGCACGTGGTTGATTGCCATTGCGTTGTCACAAGTTTGTCTCTCATCACTTTCACTTCGTTAGAGACGCGAACGATTTTCCAGTCTCGATGAGGGGCATACGGTCCAGGGGAGAATAATCTTTGTGCTTTGGCGAATTAAAATGCACTATTTATGAATGTGCTTGCGGCGTTGTCCTTCTTTGGCTCGTTACTTCTTCATCTGCACTTTCGCATGACTGCTGCAATAAGACACATGGCCCTATCAAGATGAGCTCTCGACGCTGCTCTTGTAGGGCAAGAATGGGCTTTTTCCCGGTTTAGCGGTTCATGACCGCTTTTTATTGAGTCTCCTGGTTTAGCGGTTAATGGCCGCTAAATAAAGTGGTTGAGCGGCGATGCCCTGAATAGCGGTTATATAATTTCGTGACACTGTAGGACCGTTGAACCGGGCCTACGACTGTACCCTGAAATGACGATAATCCACCCGGGTATGATACCCGTTTCTGGATACTTCTCTCGAACTACAATTACTGAGCCCCCTTTTCATGCCACGGGGCCACCCCTTGATGCGGAACGACTGGCTGGGTGTCTCGTCTAGGAGAGGACCTCGTCGCCTTCACCATGGGAGACGAAAAAGAAGGGGGGTAAATGGAAAGAGAGCGCCAAGGACCCGGAGGTGTGGTACAACAAGGTCGAGGACGGGGCGGCATGGCTCATGAGGAAATGGCACAGGCAGGAGGCGGAAGCGTCCGCGAAGCGCCAGCGCGCGAGGGAAGCAGAAGCAGAGAGTACGTCCATCTCAGGACCGAAGAGAAGAGAGTCGGAGAAGCGGCGGTGGGGGGGAAGAAACGGCGACCGGGCACTGCTGAGTAGTGCGGCCGAGGCAGCACTTGTGGCGAACTATGTACCCGGCTGATGTTGTTGCGCCCTGTTTCCCTCCCTGCTGTATGCTATACTCCTTTATGTATGTCCTTCGTATTGTCTTTGGCCTCTGTGCTGTGTTTCTTTTTTCATGACCTCCCTGCCTTCTCTGCTGTGTTGGGTACATTGATCTCGCTTTTTTTGCTGTTGCTTCTGTTTTTGTACGTCTGGCTGTCTGCCCATGTGCCGCCTCTTTGTCCTGTNCGTATTGTCTTTGGCCTCTGTGCTGTGTTTCTTTTTTCATGACCTCCCTGCCTTCTCTGCTGTGTTGGGTACATTGATCTCGCTTTTTTTGCTGTTGCTTCTGTTTTTGTACGTCTGGCTGTCTGCCCATGTGCCGCCTCTTTGTCCTGTTTGCTCCGTTACTCCCATGCCCTGGTGCGTAGTGCCTGGTGCTGGTACGTTACCCTTTGATTTTTTCTTTGGTCGGGTGTGGGAAGCGTCCTCCTTTATTTATTTTTGTTTTTGTTTATATTTTGATCGGTTTCCGAGGGCTCTTTTCTCGAACGGTCGTACCTGGTCTTTTTTTTCCATCATTTTGTTTTCTTTTTCCGAGTGGTTTGTATCCTATTTTTGTTTGACCAATAATCAGAAACGGGCATACCCGGGTACTTTATCACCACTTTAAAGTACACTTAGAAATCAACACGCTTGCACCCCCAGGCTGTCAGCTGATTGGCCGAGAAAACATTGTACCCATTTCTGAAGAAACCTCCATCTTCCGC